CGGCGACCAACGTGTGGCTGGTGGTGGCCATCTGCGCGGTGTCGAGCCTGTTCCTGCTGGCCGTGGTGCTGTACGTGGCGTCGCGCTGGGCGCCGCGGGCGGCCGTGCTCTCGGGGCCCGGGCCCACGACGCTCGTGTGCGCCAGCGAAGTGGGCAGCTGGTCGTACTCGCAGCGCCACAGCCGCAGCCTGTGCGTGGCGGACGGCGCGGCCAAGAGCGACCTCATGGTTTTCAGCCCCAACTTCCCTCCGCCGCCGCCCGGCGCCGCGCCCAAGGACACGCAGCCGGAGCCCTCCGCTCTCCTCCACACGGTCAGTGGTCCTCCTTTTCTCGCTCAGTCCGCTCCCTCCGTCCCCCTCTGCATTTGCTGTCTTTTAGCAGGGCTCTGTTCCCTCCCCCGGGGGCGGTCCGTGTTTCATTTGCTTTTACCCTTTGAGTGCTGGTTTCATTATCCCTTTTCTTCGTGGTCCGTAATGTGTTGCATCGCAGCAGGTTTTTTGTTCCACTGTGATCTTCTCCTTCACTTATCTTGTTCATGATTGCAGCTCTGCAATATACTTAAATGTTGCTGCCCTCATTGCAAAGTTGAATGTAATACTTCTCTTGCAGTGTCTCGTGAGTCTTACATTTTTGATGACTCTGAGAATGGAATTAATCTATATGTCACTTTCTTCTCTATTTTGTAATTTTAGAACCTTCAGTGGCTGTTTCAGGGAACAGTCACACTCTGTCTTGAAATCACATCTCTTTCTTTTCTGGGTCTACTCAGATTTGTAGTCTCTTGCACTGAAAATATTTTGCCGTTTTCCTACCCAGGTCTTCAGAGTAATCTGGCCTTTCTGCAGTTCTTTTCAGCAGACCTGTATTTGAACTCTGCTCCGTAGGGTGAATCTCTTGTAGTCTTTGATACTTTACTGTTCATGACTTTCTGAGACCCCCTCATGAGTTATTAAATGGAACAATCGTTGAAAAGATTTCTGCCTGACTGCAATGTTTACCTTATCTTGCTGGTGTTATCAGGTCTGGTTTTCTTCCCTCTGTGGTGTTAATAAGAAGTCCGAGTGCCTCTTTCAGTCTTTCATTTAGAATGGAGTATCTTCACTTGCTATCATTTCCCTGTCTTACGGGTGGGGCAGTTCTAATGAATTTCTCGACTGCTGTGAATTGCTGGTTTCCAGTCTTTTCTTACTCAGAAATCTGTCCTCCTTTTTGATTCGGTTCTGAAGTAGAAATCTATATCTGAAATTCCTGCCTCTTTACAGTGCATGGCATATATTAGTTTGTGAAGTATTACAGAATTACTCTAGGCATGAAAAATAAGTATTTCACATTTCCCCTTCTAAGTATGATTGAAATGCACTTTCTAAGGTAAGGTACTTAACTGCAGAAAAACACAAACCAAAGTAGATGTCAAAATGTGCAGCTGTAGTGGTAGACTGAGCAAGACCTGCTGGTAGAGGACTTGTTTTTTGTTGGATTAATGTATTTGTAGAAGCATCTCAGTTTGGTTTCTGACTTGGGTACTCCCATGTACCCAGCAGTCATAGGCATTGTATTTCTAGGATGTTGTGGGGTTTTGACATTATCTTATTTGTGTTTACTTAATTTTGTTTTTTCCTTCCCCGAGAATACTTTTTAAAATAAACTGATTTTTTTTTTTGTCTCATTGTGTGCTTTCCTTATGATAAACATGTGAATACGAAGATGGATGATGCTTGAAACTCCCGATTTCCAGAGAGCGATTTAGCTTGACTTTATCAGAAGATGTGTTGGCAATTCTGAATGAAAGCCATGCTGCCAAAGAATGCTCTTTTATTTCAGAGTCTGTGCCCCTTGCCATCGCTGTGGTTCACTGTCTTGTAGTCTCTTAAGGTCAATTTTACTTCGAGAGAATGCTCTGAGGCTTCAGGTTTCATTTATTTCTGCCTTCATAGAAACGGATACAGAAATACTGGCAATACAGCGGGGATTTGAGAGAATGGAAAAAAACCTGTTTGATTTTTCAGCCCTGCTTCCTGAAATTTGGAACAGTGATCCTTGAACACAGGCCTGACAATAGACACTTAGAAATAAATCAAGACAACAGTGAGAATAGTAACAGATGTCATTAAAAATATATATCGAGGGACCTACATGGACTTCTTTAGTGTTTTGCATGTTCCTTTTTTTGTTGGTTTTTTTACCTCTGGGTTCATTCATCATTGATTCTTCCTGTGGTAGAACCAGGAACTCACTAATCTGTGAAATTCCCTGGTTTATATTATTGCCTGGATTACACGGCAGGGCAGCAGAAAGTGCTGTAGCTGTGTAGAGAAGAGGCTCTGATGCATTTATGTCAGTAGATGAAGTAGGACCCTGGGAACTTTTTATGAGATGAACTGTGCCTTGCCAGAACAGTGGTGCAACCCCTTTATCTCGTCTTCAGTTGTGTCATGGTTGAATGATTCTGCTGTGTCCTGCAGCAGCTCATCTCCATCAGTAACGGGCACATTGTTTTGCTGTACTGTGAGTTTCTACCTGCCTAAAAATGATAACCAAGACCTTGATCTCCATTGTGCAGCTACACATGGGGGATAAAACTTAGAGAAAATACTTTACTGACACATAAAGATGAGATACTTCATGTTCCCTGAGATATTTCACCCTTCTGAGAGGATTTCTGCTCTGTCAGAATGTTTAGAGCATAGGGTTGGGGTGTCGCTGATGGAGTTGGAAGTCTTTGGAACTGGTATTTGCTGATGCTGTACTCGGTTGAAAATACACTTCGGAAGGCAAAACAATTCTGCTATGGACAGGTACTCTTTGTAGTATGATGGGTGTAGTGTATTATTTACTCTGCAAAAAACCAAGGAGACTGTGTGGAATTGCTCAGCAACGTCCCTGTCACAAAGCCATTAAAAGGTAAGCAATTTATATTCATTTCTAGCATTTCTAAACTAGACCAAGTACATTACATATGAATCTATGTCTTCTGAAGACCTGAGTACTTTCTATAAATGGAAGATCGAGGATACAGTCTTATTCTGTAGAGAAAACAGCTGAAGTATCTTCCAGAAGAAAACATAAATGAGAAAATTGAGTTATGCCTCCTCAGGCATAGGAGAAGATAAAGTCCGGAGATCAGAAGTGAGGTAGGCTTTATACAGTGAAGATGGCTCCTGGGTCAATATGGGTATTCAATTATACGTACATTTTGGCAAGTGTACTTCGCAACTAAAATGCCTGAAGGAAGGAGAAGAGGAAGAGGAGAAGGAGAAGGGGAGGAGACAAAAGGACCAACTATTACCGCTGCGGAGGAAGACAGTGTTCGGAAGGGAAATCTCGCACCGCGTCGGTCCGAGCGGGCGGAGCCACGGCCGGTCCATCCCCGCCCGGAGCCGCAGCGGGAGGAGGGCGGCGGGCGGCTGCTCACGGAACGAGCCGCGGTCGGACACCAGGTGCCGCTGTTAGCCGCGAAAGCGCCGTCAGACACGGAAGGGCGGCAGCTCCTCCCCGAGCCTCAGTCACGGCGCTGTCAGCGGGAGGAAGAATGCGGCGGACCGGCCCGGGAGGGGCGCCCAGAAAGCAGAGCGGGGTGCCGCTCCTCCCAGGGAGACCATAAGGCGATCGGCGGGGGAGTGACGGAGAGCCGGTCAGGGCCAGAGAAGGGATCGGAGGTGACAGTGGCAGCGATGCGTTGGGAAGCCGTGCTGCGGGTGCTGGTGCTGCAGGCGGCCTGGGCGCTGGCGGGCGGGCAGGTGCGCTACTCGGTGCCGGAGGAAGCCAAGGCCGGCACGGTGGTGGGCCGTCTGGCGCAGGACCTGGGCCTGGAGGCGGGCGAGGCGGAGGCGCGGCGGCTGCGGCTGGTGGCGCAGGGCCGGCGGGCGAGCGTGGAGGTGAGCGGGGCGAGCGGCGCGCTGCTGGTGAGCTCGCGGCTCGACCGGGAGGAGCTGTGCGGCAAGAGCGCGCCGTGCGCGCTGCGCCTGGAGGTGCTGCTGGAGCGGCCGCTGCGCGTCTTCCATGTGGAGCTGGAGGTCACCGACATCAACGACAATGCGCCCGTCTTCC